GCAAATATACTGGCCACGGGATGAATAGTTTTCTGTTCCCTGAGTGACCAGAGCAGGGGCTGCCCTAGAGCAATCAGGATCCTGCTAGAGCCAATTAAGATAGGCAAGCTAATTAAGACTCCTGCAGCCAATTAAGAACTTATTAGAATCAATTATGGCAGGCAGGCTCATCAAGACACCTGGTTAAAAAAGGACCTCCCATCAGTTAGTGAGGGGGTGCGCAAGGAGCAGGCGTGCTGCTGGAGGACTGAAGACTATAAGTGTGATCAGGCTTCAGGAGGAAGATCCTGCAGTGAGGATAAAGAAGGTGCTGGGGGAAGGCCATGGGGAAGTAGCCCAGGGAGTTGTAGCTGTCACGCAGCTGATACAGGGGACATTGTAGACAGCTGCTATCCACAGGGCCCTGGGCTGGAACCTGGTGTAGAGGGTGGGCCTGGGTTCCCCCCAACTCCTGATCGGACACAGGAGGAGTTGACCTGGTCTGTGAGAAACACCAGAAGGGAAGGCCTAACATGGAAAGGGATCTGGCCTGTCCCCGACCCACTACGTGGGACACAGAGACTGCAGGGGTTGTTCTCCGTTTCCCCCATGCTGGCCAGTGATGAGGTTAGCTGAGTGAATGGCAGGTTTGAGCCTCTAGCAGAATCGGCCAAACTGAGGGCTGCCATGAACCTCTGAGGAGAACAAATCCGCCAAAAAGCGCAGGACCCACCAAGGCAGAGGAGGAACTTTGTCACACTGTGTATCTATTAACAGTGTGTTTGTATATATGTGTGTGTCATTTTGTATGTTCATTTGTGTTATACTTATCTTTGCTTCCAGTATCACTGATGCACTAAAGGTTTTGCTTGGCATAAACACAACCCCCAACCTTTCTTTTCCAAATGGTGTCACTTGCTTCTGTCTGTGCCACAGGAAAGCTGCTGGCAGCAGCTGAGCAGACGACACTTTCTGCCTTCATCACTCACCAGTTCTGCAACCAGGGGAGGCATTCCCCTCCCACGTGACTCTTTTGCACTGAAGACAGGTGGTGAAACGTGAAACTAGAGCATTTGTTTAATGGAGAGTGCTGAAAATTGTATGAGACAAGCATGTCCCATTTGTGGTACACGTAACTAAGAGGCAGCTTGCCTTTTCATCACAAAACCAGACACTGAGCAGAGCCAGAAGGATTGCAGCTGGCAAGACAAACGGTTTAACAGGTGGACCTTGTACAATGAGGATCACAAAGATTTAAGGTACTTCCTATTGTTTCTGCATTGTGAGGTCCAAAAGAGATGGAACCAATTCCATCCCTGGTGCAACTCAACAAATCTCTCCAGTGTATTTAGCAAGGTAATGGTTATACCATTGTTCTATGCGTATTGCACCTTTAAATGTCTAAGGATTCAGCTGTCTATAAGGGCAGGAAGCTGCTTTGTGTTCACTTTGGTACAGACTTGCACAGAGGAAAAGGGGAAGGACAGGTGTCCAAAAATATACTTTTGGATGCCACGGTAGGTGAGAACACTGGGAGAAGACTATGTCACTCACCATAGAGATCTCTGGCCCAATGGATTTGCAATCCACTCCCAGCTGGCACCTCCATTTTAGCTAATAACTGCTGTGTTCCACCCCAGAAACAGCTGCATTTCAGTGGTGGGTGGAGTGATCCATTTATATTGCATATCACTTCCCTCCCTCACGGGGGTGTTGTGAAGCTCAGCTAGTTACTGATTGCAAAATGCTGTGAGATCTTCAGACGGGCTATAGAGGAGCAAATAGATTTACTTGCAAAGAGATGTTATCAGCAAGCAATTCAAATCAGCAACAAGTCAGCCTGTGACGCGCAGAACAACCTTAACGGAAGGTAGCAGTTATTCAACATAGGGGAAATCCAGGGAAAGTGCCCGGAGCCCAAGTAACTGGGTTGTGGGATCATCTATATCCATATGGGGCTGAGCAATGGAACCCTCAGCCCCAGCCCACAGCAGCTGGATGGGAAAGGTAGAAATAGCAGCCACAAGCCACTATTACCCTCTGGACGGTTCACAGACCCTCCCGCCATGCTTCCAGCCTGTCCCATCACACCTCCTTATCCCTCCTGTGTATAGTCCGCCGCTAAGCTGTTCTCCATGATCCAGCAAGGGGCACAGAGTCCCGGTGTCTGTGCTCTCCCCAGACTGACTATTCCAGGCTCTTTCCCCAGAGTTTTGGGTCATCTGTGTCTATGGGGGTCATCTGTGTCTATCAGAGTTTGGCCCACAATTGCGGAGGCTATAGCCAGTATTTACTACCTTCCTCTGAAGTTTCCAACAACACTTTGCTCATATAAGCGCTTTGGCACAGGAACCTTCTTACCGTTACATATATGTACTGTGCCTGGCGCAATGAATCCCCCGTCCTTGCTGCAATACAAATAAATAACAACTATAACATTAGGCAGCTTTTATGTGGGGCTCTCAAAGATGATCTGAGCTTTTCAGACTTGGACTCTGAGCTTAGAAGAACCAATAGCTTGTTTTCCATTATAAACTCTGCTGCTATAATAAATTGCAATGCTTTCGATTGCTCTAGCCCCTTCCATCCCAAAGCACCTTAAAAATTGTGATCCTGCTTCTGCAATTATATCCATTGGTGTGGACCCCTGCTGCCACTGAAATCAATGGAGCTCAGTGTGTGAACCATACTGGGTCAGACCAATGGTCCATCTAGCCCCGTATCCTGTCTTCCGACAATGGCTGGTGCCAGAGGCTTCAGAGGGAATGAACAGAACAGGCACTTATTGTGTGATCCATCCCCTGTCATCCAGTACCAGCTTCTGGCAATCAGAGGTTTAGGGACACCCCGAGCATGGGATTGCGTCCTTGAACATCTTGGCTAATAGCCACGGATGGACCTATCCTCCATCAACTTACCTAATTCTTTCCTGAACTGAGTTATACTTCTGGCCTTCACAACATCCCTTGGCAATGAGTTCCACAGGTTGACTGTGCAGTGTGTGAAGAAGTATTTCCTTATGTTTGTTTTAAACCTGCTACCTATTAATTTCATTGGGTGACCCCTGGTTCTTGTGTTATATAAAGGAGTAAATAACACGTCCTTATTCACTGTCTCCGCATCATTCATGATTTTATAGGGCTTGGCTACACTTGTGAGCTACAGCGCAATAAAGGAGGCCCGGGCGCACTAGCTCACTCCCTGTCCACACTGACAAGGCACGTAGAGCGCTCTGACTCCACGGCTACAGCGCTGCTGGTACTCCACCTCGGCAAGAGGAATAAAGTTTGCTGGAGCGCCATGGTGCCAGTGTGAGCGAGGTGTTGCATTACTGCGCTCTGATCAGCCTCTGAAAACGTCCCATAATCCCCTTAAGTCAAGTGGCCACTCTTGTCATTGTTTTTGAATCACTGCAGGAATGCGGATATGCCCTTTGAAAGCTCTGTTTCTGACAGCCAGCTGCTTATCTGCCCCGAGACAAAGCAAGCCATTAGTGTGCAATGCTGTGTGTGAGAGAGAGAGGTGGGAGGGAGGGGGAGTCTGCTGCTGTCTGAACTTACAAGACAGCACGCTGACATGCTCTCAGCCCCCAAAACCCACTCTCTCTCCCCCCACATACACACAACACACTCCCTGTCACACTCCCCTCCCCCCTGCATTTGAAAAGTGCGTTGCAGCCACTTGCATGCTGGGATAGCTTGCCCATAATGCATCGCTCCCAATGCCGCTGCAAATGTGGCCACACCAGTGCGCTGTCAGCTGTCAGCGTGGACAGACGGCCGCGCTTTCCCTCCTGCGCTCTCCGAAGGCTGGTTTAACTCAAAGCGCTCTACATCTGCAAGCGTAGCCAGGCCCATAAACGTCTCTCATATCCCCCCCTTGTGGTATCCATGCTGGATGATCTAATTACAGGGTTGGGACTTAAATCCATGCAATGCCAGTAAAATGCAGCCACTGCTGGGGTGGAAGGCTGTGACTGGCACACAGCACACTGCACAAAAGGGATGGGAAGGGGGGAAAGGGGAAATTTTGGACAGGTACAACAATGCAAACCACTACCCTTATAAAAGTCTCAGGGGAAGCTGGAGGTCCTATCTCTTCTGCATAGACTTTAATTTGTAAGACTTCAACTGTGCATTTTAACACATTCCTTTTTCCAGACTGCGAAGAGAAGTAATACTTTTGAAATTGTTTCCTCATCATATTCAGACATGTCACATACATATCGATATTTGTACATCTATCATCCAGATATACGTACAGCTATTTGTTGTTGTTGCTATCTACTAAGTAACTACATATCAGTTTTCAGAGGAACAGCCGTGTTAGTCTGTATTCGCAAAAAGAAAAGGAGGACTTGTGGCACCTTAGAGACTAACCAATTACCAGCAGGAGAGTGAGTTTGTGTGTGTATGGGGGTGGGGGGGATGTGAGAAAACCTGGATCTATGCAGGAAATAGCCCGACTTGATTATGTAAAGAGTTGTCACTTTGGATGGGCTAGCACCAGCAGGAGAGTGAATTTGTGTGGGGGGGTGGAGGGTGAGAAAACCTGGATTTGTGCTGGAAATGGCCCACCTGTTGATCACTTTAGATAAGCTATTACCAGCAGGACAGTGGGGTGGGAGGAGATATTGTTTCATATTCTCTGTGTGTATATAAAGTCTGCTGCAGTTTCCACGGTATACATCTGATGAAGTGAGCTGTAGCTCACGAAAGCTCATGCTCAAATAAATGTGTTAGTCTCTAAGGTGCCACAAGTACTCCTTTTCTTTTTACATATCAGTTTGGCACTATATATAATGGAAGAAAGAATTCCTTTCTGTGAGATCCACCGGTCAGAACACTTGTCTGCCACTCCTGCCTCAGTCAATCCAGTTTGTTACAGAAGAATCCTTGCAAGAATACTCTGTAGAAAACACAGATTTGCTCATTGGTAGCAGCTACAGGTTTTACATTGAATGGATTATTTCCACCCTTTAACTCCTATAAGCAACATGGAGCCAAATTCATCACGGGGTTTAACTCCATTGACTTCAGTGGGGTTATACCAGGGCTAAATTCATCCTGGGCATGTGTGTGCAACTCTATGCAACGATTCTGGAAATTTTCCAGCTGTTGATCAGCATAAATGGATGATGGCAAAGGGGTGATTTTTAATGTGCTTCTGTTATACCTGTGTATAACTTGCTAATGCAGGATTACACAGAGTTCAGCGTCTGATAAAATCCAAACCAATTTAACTGTCTAGGCTAGCTACTCACCTGTTCTATCTGTTCAATTCATTATCTATTCGCACACCCACCTAACCTTCCCTTCTCCCCCAAACTCCGCATTTCCTACTTGCTGCTACAGTTGCATTTTTCCTCGGGTGATCTTGAAATCCACCGCCGAAGTCGCAGCAGCGGGACAAGGGGAATGCAAAGCTGCGGGGGAAGGCAGAAAACCAGCCCATGTGACGGCTGCAGCCGGAGGGTGGAGGGAAAGGGTCCTGGTCTCCCTGGGAAGCCCCCGAAAGTTTGTGCTTCGTGCGGGCAGATCTGTCCGTCCGTCCGCCCAGCTCTCCAGCGCTGCGAGCGAAGCGGGTTGCGCCCCTCGCAGACGGCCCCAGCTCGGGCTGTCTCCCCGGGCGGGGAGCGGACATCAGCCCTGCGGCAAAACGAGAGCTCCGCCTCGGCCTCCCCAGCGCCCGGGAGACTGCAGCCTCCCCGCCCCGCCGCGGCGCACGGAGACCCGCCCGCGATGTAAGGCCGGGGCGCGCCCCGCCTCCCCCCGAGCCCGCAGCATGAGCTCGGATCCCCGCTACCGGGCCTCCTCCTACCGCAAGCTCGTCGGGGAGCCCCCGCGGCTGCCCGCCTCGCTCCCCGCCAGCGGCCGGGTGGACCTGGGCCCGGCGCCCGCCCGGGCCCGCGAGCACGGGCTGGGCCGCGGCGGCGGGGAGCAGGAGCGGCTGGCCGGGGGGATGCAGAGCCTGCGGGCGCGCTGCGACAAGGAGGCGCGGGGCCGGGCCGAGGCGGAGCAGCGCGCCCGGGCGCAGCAGCGGGAGGCGGACGGGGCGGCGCGGGCCCGGCTGGGGCTGGAGCAGAAGGTGGAGGCGCTGCGGGAGGAGCTCGCCCTCCTGCGCCGGGCGCACGGGGAGGAGCGGGCCGAGCTGGCGGAGCCGGACCTGGCCCAGCCGGACCTGAGCGCGGCGCTGCGGGAGATCCGCGCCCAGTACGAGTCGCTGGCGGCCAGGAACCTGCAGGCGGCCGAGGAGCGGTACCGCGCCAAGTTCGCCACCCTCAACGAGCAGGCGGCGCGCAGCAGCCAGGCCGCCCGGGCCAGCCGCGAGGAGATCCACGGGTGCCGCCGCCAGCTGCAGGCCCGCACGCCGGAGAGGGAGAGTCTGCGCGGCGCCAACGAGTCCCTGGAGCGGCAGATCCAGGAGATGGAGGAGAGGCACGGCGCCGAGGTGGGCGGGTTGCTGGTGAGGGAGCGCCGGGCACCTCCGCCCCGTGCAGCGCCCTTGTTCCCGGGGTGGCGTTGAGTATCTCTCCCCTGCGCGCGGGTAGGTACCCCTGGCCACCACTAGCCAGCCCCAACTGGCCGTACCTCTCCCTTGCAAGTCCTGCACAATGGACTGACTCCGCTGGAATGGTCCGAGAAGTCCGGGTCTCAGGGATATCAGCAGGGGCTGGGGAAGTCTGGGGAGTTTTCTAGTTTGACTGGGAAGGCAGCGACAGCGGAGCATTATGTCAAACCAACCCGTGCATGAGCCGCTGGAAATCAGGGAAGGACCCCCCCTCTCCCCCCCACACACACCTGGGAGAGCGGAGGGTTAAAGGATTTCATGGGGTCCCAGAAGATGAAGAACTGCGTGGGGTTGTTTGGGAGTTTGACCATTGGCTTTCGTGGAGCCTGGAAGTCACACACTGCGTTGGACTGAGAGTGGGGCGCCGGCGTGCAGAGAAAGCTAGTGGTGCAAATGCATAAACAGGTGCACACAGCCATAGCCATGATTTCCCTGTAGCCCCAGGATGTCTGTGCAAAGGGATCAGTCTTCAGGTCTTCTGCGTTCCCACCCTCAAGATCGGCGTGTGTCTGCGCTGCAGGGGCTGCAGGTTTCACGTGGGTGTGCGTTGGAGCAATGGGTAGACAGGGCTGGGAAAACTTTGTCTCTATCCAAGGTCCTGAATTTGGCATTGACCTTCATCAGACTTCAGCGGATCGTTATAAAAAGCCTTTTAATTCATGTTTAATGAATTAAGAGAATTTCTTCCCAAACGAGCCTTTAAAGACAGTTTTGTTAATTTTAATGGAAGCTGAATTCTCGGATTGCCTTTTCTTTTTCTTGATGGGTAATTTCTAGAAACCATCTGAACTGTGTTTGGTCCATAACAGTTTGTTTTTCGCAGGAGTGGGTGGGTGAGATTCTGTGGCCTGCGTTGTGCAGGAGGTCGGACTAGATGATCATAATGGTCCCTTCTGACCTTAGTATCTATGACCTGGGTCCCAGCTGCCTTGACCTGTTTTCAAGGGCACTTGTAAGGTGTAAATTGCAGCAGTTAGAACCCTTCCCAGCTCTATTAGGAGAATCGTTCCTTAAGGCCTGCCCCAAAGACCACTGAAGTCAATGGAAAGACTCCCTCTGATTTCAATGCGCTTTGGATTAGACCCTCAATCTCTTTTGTATGGTTTGGGAAAGATGCTCATTTAAATTCCTCTGACTCTCAACCAAATACAGTACTAGAATTTTTCCCGGTTTTACTACGGGGAAGCCCTGGTGATGATAAAAGAAATTAAGGTTGCAACATCTTGTTAACCTAACTGGTCAGCCTTAGCTAAATTGTACAGCTTCTTTCTGAATGAATTACTGTGCATGATATTTAACGGATACTATTTCATATTTATATTGAAGTGCGGCCCCCACGCATTTTCAGGGCCATACTGTGCTAAGAGCTGTATAAACTCATGATACCTGCTCTAAACTGCTTGCAATCTAAGTAACTAGTTGGTGTTATTCTTCTTCCATTAATAATATGGAAATATTTTGATGTCCTGTGATAGTGCATACAGGTGGACTCAAAGGGATTCCATATTAGTAACCCTCTTAAATATTGTAGCCTTGATGCCATGTGAACAGAAATTGCAAGAACAACCAATATGTAGGAGGAAATGCTACAACCAGATTAAACTCTGGGATAGTTGAAATTGATCTAATTATGGAAAATCAACTTTTAAATGTATGATTCTTGTATTTTAGTTTAGTGGGGGTGGTAATTAGTGGCATCTCTTGCATCCTTTATAGGATAGAGATTAAATCAGTAGTGTCCTATAGAAATTTATATATTTTAATAGAAAATTAGATTCTTTCCATAGTTTGGGGTATTTTAAACCATCCTATCGATTTCTATAGCAGGGATACATTCTCTCTATGAAATTCTATAGGACTGCTTAAAAAGATATAGAAAGAGTCCCACTTTCTATTCAATTTTATAGGACTTTTCCATAAGAGAAGACCTACAGATAGATGCTCATAATGTTGTCAGCTTCACACGTTCTATAGCAATATTTCTTGTTGCAGCCTTCCACATAAGTCTCCAGACTTTACTGCTTTTTGCTCTGAAATACCTTCCCCATACTAGCTGGCATGGGTCTTGGGCCAAATGTAGCCCACAGTTCTATAATAAGGTCCATTGGTGCCCTCATATTCAACATATAGGTGTGATCCATGAAGACTACAAATCCCAGCATGCAGTGCTCCATCTTCTGCTGTTTGGGTGAAATTTAGTTTTTAAGCATTTCCTCTTCTTACAGTCCATGGGGACTAAAATTAAAGAGAGACCTGAATAAGGGGCCCATTTAAGCAAAATTTAACTGATCCACTTAAGTGGATGATATATTCATTAATTGCTGTTTGACCCCAAGAGGTGCTGAGCACCCAGCCCTCACATTGATTTTTAGTGGGCATCACAGGTAGCCCTGTAGCCCAGGCCCTTAGGTAATACAAGAAAACCTTTTTACATTGTCAGAGCAAGTGGTATGAAAAGCAGCCTCATCTCACCTGTGCAGTGTTAAATCCAAATCTGGGGCAAATAGGCCAGGACATACATTTCCTTGCAGCACCATCCAGGATTTCCACATGATTGATGCCCCCTGCTAGTGTCTGAATGGTGACTGTTGCAACCCAGGCTTGACACAAGCTGCTCCCTGCTAACACAGGATCACAGAGAAGGGAATGACGAAGAGGCTGGAATTTATACATGGGTTCAGAAACAATGTATGTTAGCAGGCAAACATGGGTGCTAAAGAGGGGCATGTAGGTAGGGCAGAAAGGCAGAGCTCTGTATCTGAAATACTCGTCAGTCAATATGCCTGATATTTATTATACATCTTACCCAACCCTGTCCCAGAGCAATAGGGGAGAGGAATATAGCCAAGTTGTACATAGGAGTGGTTTTGTACCGAGGGGTGCTCAAATGAGGTGACAGAGAATTAGAGGAAATGAAAAGAGCAGTGTTTTATCTGAGAGTGGCGTTATTATCCAACAAAACCATTGTTAATTTAGGGGGTCAATAGCCCAGCATCGCTGTACCAATGAGGATATTATTTATAATTACTTGTGTTGTGACTCCATCTGGGAGCCCCTCTCACAGACCAAGTCCCTGCTGTGGTAGGTGCTGTACAAACACTGAACAAAAATATGTTATAAATCAGGGCTATTATAATGGGAGTTTATATTACACGGGGCACTAATTTTCTCCCAGAATGCCCTCTGCATCTCAGTGTGTGCCCTGATGATCTCCCCATTCTTTCTTCATTTGTAACTCCCGTTCTGCATCCTTGAGTTTCTGCCCCAGGATCACTGTCCTTGTGACTTAATCAGAATCCATCAATGATGTTTGTTAAAGGGGGTCACAGGCGCAAAGCAAGGCATTGCTTCCAAATTCGAGGCAGAGGGGGCAGATGTATGAGAACTCAGGGACTAGATTGATGGAGGCAGTGTAAACAGACATTGCATCTCTTAGATTTCAGAGTAACAGCCGTGTTAGTCTGTATTCGCAAAAAGAAAAGGAGTACTTGTGGCACCTTAGAGACTAACCAATTTATTTGAGCATGAGCTTTCGTGAGCTACAGCTCACTTCATCGGATGCATACCGTGGAAACTGCAGCAGACTTTATAAATACACAGAGAATATGAAACAATACCTCCTCCCACCCCACTGTCCTGCTGGTAATAGCTTATCTAAAGTGATCATCAGGTGGGCCATTTCCAGCACAAATCCAAACCTGCTCCATGCATTTTGCTGCTGGCAGCCATCTTTGCATTCTGTATTTAGTAGGTTACACAAGACCAAAAGTAGGACAGGGAGGAGGGAGTGGTGGAATGAAATACCAACAAATCTCGTCCACTGTAGCCACAGAACTGCACCTAGTCATTAAGGGCTGACTTGGGAAGAAACAGAGAGGGAGAGAATTTTCTTCGCTGGCCAATGCAGAACAGCCGGCTTCCCACACAGGTCTAAGTTATACAACTTTCATGTGCATTCTAACTACATATACATCCAAAAAACTAAAAGCCTGAATCAGATGGTGCCTATGGGCACATCTGACCCAACAAAGACATTCCCAGATAATTATTTGGGTTGGGAGGAACTTCTTGTGGGCCATCTATTGCCGTGTCTTCATGGTATCAGCTTTGATTTTACGATGGTGAAACAATCTCTGCTTGATTGCCTAGCCTTTCTCAGACAACAGCAATTCCACAGCCTCTCTAAGCCGTTTACTCCATTGTTATATAATTTCCCCCTAATATTCAACCTATATTTTCCCTGCTGCCTGCTCCACCTTGTTTTGTCACCGACTAATGAGATCATTGTCCTCTTTGCAAACAACCCCGGCTGTATTTATGGGGAAAAGCAACCATGTGAAAATCCCTTAATTTTATGACAGCAAAAAAAACCCCCTGTCACTCTGACCCATTGCACAGCGGGCAGCTTAATTTATTAGGAAAATCTGCTGCATGCCTTAAATTACCTATGGGCTGCTCCTGGTCAAGTCAAGGAGCGTTTGCCATTGACCTCACTGGGAGCAGAAGAGAACATTAAGATTTGTGACAAATTTCCTCAATGATTTTGATGGGGCTTCGTCTTGCAGAACTTGCACGTGTTTGTGTGTGCATCCTTGAACACCAGTGTTAAACAGGTGATCAGTGCCTTACAGGTGTTTTAGCCATATTTTCAAATGACACAAATAAAGCAAGGCTGCTGTTAGCATAGTTATACCTTAATGGCCTAGACCAGAGGTGGGCAAACTGCGACCTGTGGGCCACATCCGGCCCGTGGGACCATCCTGCCCGGCCCTTGAGTTCCCAGCTGGGGAGGCTCACCCCCGGCCCCTCCCCCACTGCCCCCCCTCTCCCCTGTAGCCACGCTGCCGCGCGGGCAGCACCCTGGGCAGTGGGGCTGTGCGCTCCTGCAGGGCAGCATGGCAGCGTGTCTGGCTCCAGCCAGGCAGCGTGGCTGCCAGACATGCTGCTCTGAGCGGCATGGTAAGGGGGCCGGGGGGTTGGATAATGGGCAGGGGTCCTGGGGGCCAGTCAGGGGACAGGGAGCAGGGGGCAGTTGGATGGGGTGGAGATTCTGGGGGGGTGGTAAGGGGAAGCGGAATGGGGGGGGTGTTGGATAAGCGTGGGAGTCCTGGGGGCCTGTCGGGGGCAGGGCAGTCAGGGAGCAGGGGGGGTTGGATGGGGGTGGGGTCCCAGGAGGGAGCGGTCAGGGGACAAGGAGTAGGGGGGGTTGGATGGGTCGGGGGTTCTGAGGGGGGCAGGAAGTGGGAGGGGGTGGGGCTAGGCTGTTTGGGGAGGCACAGCCTTCCCTACCAGGCCTTCCATACTGTTTTGCAACCCCAATGTGGCCATTGGGCCAAAAAGTTTGCCCACCCCTGTCCTAGACCCTGACATATGCCTGACACACCTAACCCTTGTGAAAAGTGAATTAATTGAATGTTGATAAATGCAAAGTAATGCACGTCGGAAAGCATAATCCCAACTATATATGTACAATGATGAGGTCTAAATTAGCTGTTACCACTCAAGAAAGAGATCTTGGAGTCCTTGTGGATAGTTCTCGGAAAACATCCACTCAAAGTGCAGCCGCAGTCAAAAAAGTGAACCGAATGCTGGGAATAATTAAGAAAGGGATAATAGGACAGAATATATCATGTTGCCTCTATATAAATCCATGGTACGCCCACACCTTGAATACTGTGTGCAGATGTAGTCGCCCCATTTCAAGAAAGATATATTGGAATTGGAAAAGGTTCAGAAAAGGGCAACAAAAATGATTAGGGGTATGGAAGGGCTTCCGTATGAGGAGAGATTAGTAAGACTGGGACTTTTCAGCTTGGAAAAGAGACGGTTAAGGGGAGATATGATTGAGGTCTATAAAATCATGACTGGTGTAGAGAAAGTAGATAAGGAAGTGTTGTTTGCTACTACTTATAACACAAGAACTAGTGGTTACCAAATGAAATTAAAAGGCAGCAGATTTAAAACAAATAAAAGGAAGTATTTCTTCACACAATGCACAGTCAACCTGTGGAACTCCTTGCCTGAGGATGTCATGAAGGCCAAGACCATAACAGGGTTCCAAAAAGAACTAGATAAATTCATGGAGGATAGGTCCATCAATGGCTATTAGCCAGGATGGACAGGAATGGTGTCCCTAGCCTCTGTTTGCCAGAAGCTGGGAATGAGCAACAGGGGATGGATCACTTGATGATAACCTGTTCTGTTCATTCCCTCTGGGGCACCTGGCACTGGCCACTGCTGGAAGACAGGATACTGGGTTAGATGGATCCTTGGTCTGACCTAATATGGCCGTTCTTATAGCATGGAGCCAGGTCCTCAGCTGGGGTAAAGCAGCATAGCTCCATTGATGTAAATGAAATTATATTGACCTGCACTGTCTGAGGATCTGGCTTTGTGTGTGGGAATTATGCACATTTTAGAGTGGGTGGGTCAAAATCAGAGATAGCGTGAGTGAGTGCAAGTCCCTTGAATTCAACATGAGTCTTTTAGGAACTCAGTAGAGTGGCAGCAGCTTACGCGGTCTGAATTTGGCCCTGTGTCTTCAGTATAGTTGTGTATGCACCAGGTCTGTAGTATTTTGTTTTAATATGAACTGGGATTGTTCAAGAAAATTGGAAATTTGCAGCTTCAGGCACCATCCCTTTAAGTTACTTTACAAATATTTACAATATTTTAAAAGACAAATAGGCTTTGCGACTTGACAGCTTAGCACTTTCCAGCATGCACTTTCCACTTTACGTCTACACTTTCAGCATTAATTTGTGAAGCAGGGAAAAAAATAAAGATGAGGTCACCTGGGCCCGGAAGGTGTAGATGGTATTAAGGAGAGGCGGAGTATGTCTGTGTAGGAGCTGTCTCTTCCATTATCACCATCTTCTCTTGCCACTCCTTGGGGAACTGCTGTGTCTTCAGCTAAGCTCTGAGGAGCCTTTTGATGCTTCCCATTGATGACCTCCTGTCCCAGCCACCGTTCTTCCAGGAGAGAGCTGCGCTAAACTTCTTTGGAACCTGGAGATGTTGCTCATCCGCTAACCTCAGCTGGTGATCAATGTGGGTTCCTCCCTCTCAAGGTGTTGGGAGTCCTGCCTATGGAACGCTCCTAGCTAGTTCGGGGAATCTACCATGCCACCATTTTGCTGCTGCTGTAGGACACTGGTTCGTGCTACAGCGTGGAACAAATTTGTAGCTGTGATTGAGTGGTTAACATTTGTGTGTGCAAAAAAAGTGGTGTCTGCTCATGGTCATGCCTAAAAGCTCAGCTAAACCCTTAGCCACAAGAGAGGGAGGGCATCTCTCACACAATCCTAAACTTTCCTTTAGGGGCTGGGCTCCCACTGTACATAATCCTTGCCTTGCATCGGAACAATTAAGACCAACCCGATTCCACAACCCCTTGCTTTGCTTAATCAATCTCTAAGGGCCAAATCCGAGGAGGTGCTGAGCACCCATCTCCCACCACTGGCAGATGGTGCTCAGCAGCTTTCAGAAGTGGGTTCTCAGTGAGTTATTTCTCTCAACTCTGGGCTCCTCTGTGTCTAATTGGACACATTTGTCTAATTGTCCCATTAACAAACATCCAAGAAATTAAATAAAGCAATTGGAAAAAATGAAAGAGGCAGGTCGAACAGCAGCTGTGGCCTTGTTTTCCTGCCGCAGTTATCTTAATTGGAATTTCCCCTTGCTGCGCTCTTGTCCAGGAATCTGCTGGGATGGATGAGTTGGCAATTGTATTTTCCCCTTTCTCTGTAATGAAATGAACATAAAGCGTTCAGCTAAGGACTTTGCTTTTGAAACACGGCTCCTTATCTCCCTGGGCTTGCTTGATTGCAGGACAGCATCAGTCAGCTGGAGGATGACTTGGGGAACACCAAGAGCGAAATAGCTCGTCATCTGAGGGAGTATCAAGACTTGCTCAACGTTAAAATGGCTCTGGATATAGAGATTGCTGCATACAGGTAACACCTCACCCTATTTATTTGACCTGCCCTCTTCCATACCACCTTACCTGGCACAAAACCATAAATCTAAAAAAGCACTTGGTTTTGTTTTCATTGTTGAGGGTAAATGGAGGGCACATGCAGTGGATATGGGGGTACTCATCGCACACTGGGTACAGCCAGCCGATGCCAACGTACCTCAGTCCTGACCTGCGTTACTCCCTGATATGCCAGTCTGGGCTCCCCGCCATAGGTCTGCCAATACCCCTCAATCCAGGCCCAAAGTCCCCTCCTGCTCTTCTAGTCCCCCACCCCCACAGCCGGTGTTGTTGTTCACATTAAAGCAACGCAAGCCTGTGTTTCATATCTACATTGTTTTGACTGAAAAAGATTCCAGATCTGAACAACAGTAACACCAGAGGCTGCTGTTCCCAGCAGCTCGCTCTGTGTCCCTGCAGTCTGGGATCCCCCCTTCTGATATGGAGGGTCACCCCATTTGACATCTGCAACCCCCACCCACTATCCTTTCCAAACACCAGTTACTCCATGCATATACCCCCCCCTCAGCTCCGCCAATGCACTTCACCCCTTAGCCCCTCAAATTAGTCTGTCTGTGGTGTTTAGTCTTGTCCCAGGCTTGGAGATGAGCCCAGAGATCGATTGACCAAACTCCTGCACGTGGCATAGATGGTTGGACTAGATGATGGGGGTTGGACTAGACGACCTCCTGAGGTCCCTTCCAACCCTGATATTCCATGGAATAGCCCCCCCCCCCCTTGTAACGTCTCCTGGGAGGCTGAGTCCCCATTTTTCTCCTCTTGGGATGAGCTTTCTCATCTCCGTGATCTTCAGTCTGTCAGGAGGGCTCCCCTTCCCCCAGAATCTCTCCCCTCTTCCCCTGCTGTACTGAGAGAGTCTTTGAAGTCAAGGTTTGAGCCCCTTGCATTAACCTTCTAGCCCTGGAGTGGTCTTGATCATTAGCACAGTGACAAAGGGGATGTTCAAGTCCACCCCTGGGTCCCAGTCTCAGCCCCGCTGGTGCTGTATCCCTTGCATGTTCCAGCCCTATCCACTATGGGGGTTTGCTTCCCTGGGCAAGCAAGGTCATTTTTTGGCTCCTCTCCCTCGACAAATGGTATTTCCAAGTTTTTCTGAAACTGCAGCTACATCCTGCCTTCGCGTCCAGCCCAAGTCAGGAGTGACTGAAAGCTGTGCCTGGTTGACAACCATTTGGTAGCCTATTTGAAAAGGTGCTCAGCTGCCATGGTGATGGGCCTGGTATAAGAACCTACCTTAAACAGATTACACCACACACCACTGCTGATGCTGGTCCATTACTGCGTGTCACAGAATTCCAATCCTGACCTGCAGAAACCTTTATTATCCACACTCGGCCTCTCGATTCAGCCATGTCAGTGCTTCTCAGGTCCAGTACTGGTACCAAACACAGCTCTCTTGACATACCTCAGTCCTGACCTGGCCTAGTCCCTCACCCCCCACAACTGTGCCAATGGCTGTTAATCTTGGCCTTCAACACTCCTTGCTATCCCAGATCTTGGGCCTTTCTTGAGTAGAGTGTAGCCTTCGTACCAGATTGTTGAGTGGCTTTGTGATGTACATGTCTGGCGCCATGGCCAGATTCACACTCCTGTGTGAGCGAGGGCAGTACCTTCATTCAAGTGCAGCAACTCCGTGCCAGCCTCCCACACTAAGCACAGCTGATATTGAAATTCTAATTCTTTCCCCCTCCACAAAGTTCTCCCTATTCCCCTATAAATTGGTGTGGGGGGGAGGCGGAGAGGAGAAGCAGTCTCAACTGCCCCTATGCAGTTGGCTCTAGACTGCTATGCTGCTGGAACGATTGCCTTGTTGATCATGCAGCTGGGCCTGAAAGAGGTTCTGTTGTGTCTGATTTAAAACTGGGCAAACCTGGGAAGGTTCAAGAGGTTTGAACACTCGTGAAATGCAGGTGCTTAACCAAAAGATGGCTGAGAGGAGATATGATTGCTCTCTATACATATATCAGAGGGATAAATACCACGGAGGGAGAAGAGTTATTTAAACTCAGTACCAATGTGGACACAAGAACAAATGGATATAAACTGGCCATCAGGAAGTTTAGACTTGAAATTAGATGAAGGTTTTAACCATCAGAGGAGTGAAGTTCTGGAACAGCCTTCCAAGGGGAGCAGTGGGGGCAAAAGACATATCTGGCTTCAAGACTAAGCTTGATAAGTTTACAGAAAGGATGATATGATTGGATAGTCTAATTCTGGCAATTAATTGATCTTCGACTATTAGCGGTAGATATGCCCAATGGCCTGTGATGGGATGTTAGATGGGGTGGGATCTGAGTTACTACAGAGAATTCTTTCCTGGGTGTCTGGCTGGTGAGTCTTGCCTACATGCTCAGGGTTCAGCTGATCACCATATTTGGGGTCGGGAAGGAATTTTCCTCCAGGGCAGATTGGCAGAGGCCCTGGGGTTTTTTTGCCTTCCTCTGCAGCGTGGGGCACAGGTCACTTGCTGGAGGATTCTCTGCACTTTAAAGTCTTTAAACCAAGATTTGAGGACTTCAGTAGCTCAGACATAGGCTAGGGGTTTGTTACAGGAGTGGGTGGGTGAGATTCTGTGGCCTGCGTTGTGCAGGAGGTCAGACTAGACTATCATAATGACCTTATAGTCTATGATTCTATGTGTATGTTTTTCCCACGGACATCAGAAAGAGATCTCTTGAGACAGCGAAACTGGGTGGGATTCAACGTGTTGCTTCTAATGGCTAAAGCCCTCCACTGTGGGTCCTGACTCTCACAGAGACTCCCTATAAATGACCCTGCAAGTCAAGATCAGTCAGAACACTTGAACAATCCCCCCCACATTTGAACATGGAGGTGCTGGAAGGGAGTGTTTCTCAGCAGGGAGCCTTTGGCTCTGGAAACTTGCTTCCCCTGCAAAGCTGCTTGTTGTCCTTCTAGCATGCCTCCTCTGGCCTATATTGAGCTGGTGAGAGTGGTGGGTACATTTCATTTGTGGACTAGGGTGTTCATTTGATTATTACTATTTTTTTATATTATGTTCAAATGTAACGGAACTGTGCCCAGAAATCACAGATGGAGGCATATTTTATAGATTGGTCACATGAGAATCTGCTTTCTACTCTTTCCTGCCTTGTTCTGGTCCTGGTTAGAGCCCACAAAGACACAGAAAAAATAACAAAGGGGAAAAAAAATTAACTGAGCTATTTTAAACCTCAAAAAGGTTTGGGTTGAGTTTCAGGTGTAGATGTGGAGTGCTTCTTATTTTCATCCAGATATTGCCTGAATCAGAATTCTGGGTCAGATACTCTCAGACTTTGCCGGTGTTTAAAATCTGAACCTGCCCTAGATCACATTTTGCAAATATCCACGCCACCCCCCCTCCTCCATCTCTATAATGAGCCAATAAAAATAAGAGAGATCCAAGCACATCCAAATATATGGAATGTTCCAAAACTGGGTCCAAACTTTGCAGCTGGAGCCCATCTCAGTTTATATCCAAACTGGTTTGTCCATCTTTAACCTGAGCCACAGAGGTGGTAACCTTCTCCAACTAACCTCTCCTTCTGTGGTGTGTTTGCAGGAAGCTGCTGGAAGGTGAAGAGACACGTTTTACCACTGGAAGCATCAGCATTTCGGCTCTGAATCTGCATTCTAACCCCAGTTATTCTTTCCAGCCCAGAGTCTTCAATTTACCTGTGGCCACTGTCTCAAAAATATATCCTACTCGGTTTTTTAAGAAAGAAGAGAAAGAGGAGGCTTCTAAAGTGTCCTCTAAAGTATAATCTAGTCAGATGGGGACCTTTGCTGAAATGATTGAGGAGACTGTAATGTCTACTAAGAAAACTGAGCAATCAAACCTGAAGGAAGGAAACATGACAAACCAAAAAATGTAACCTTTTATATGAATAGAAACAGCATTTAAGGGGGAACAATATACACTAGACCTTTCAATTGTCTACACCTGAATTAATGCACTTGTCACCCAGTATAAATGTCCCAGCGCTTCAGCATCATTAGAAACAGTACATCCCACACCATAGCCAGGAGCAATTAAATGACAGAGGGATCTCAAAGCTTAGGCTGAAATTGGAGAGGATGGCAAACTGGGTAACTACATCTTCTGGGGTCATCACGATTAGCTAAACCAAATCACACAATAAGGAACTCCTCACTCCAAAGACGACACAATCTACCCACATTTGTGGCTGCTCCTGATGTATGTTTTACACATGTTAAGGCTATTTCCAGTTACAAACTATACTAGGAGAAGGCTGAATTTGGTCTATTCTTCCCCTTTAAAGCAGTTTCAGGTTTGGATAGACAGTCTCTGTAGCACCCTGCTCCGCAGTTAGCTCGATGCATGTTGGTCATTTCTGTGATTGCATAGTGACTTCTTGTGTCCATATCATCTCATTCCATCTGGTAGCCAACTGGTTAAGAAAAAGACATTGATTCGAATTGACGGTGCCAACTAGTCACAGGGTCAAAAAATTGTTTTTATATAGATATAGTTTCTTAATTATGGGCCTTGATCTATTTTAAAAATCAGCAGAATACAAAACAAACAAAAACCAAACCCCCAACAGCCCCAAATTCTTGACCTGTAGCCTGTCACTTTAACTCTAGAAGCACAGAACATACTGAGCTATGAGACAGCCTGACTTCTGCACGAGCATTAAACTCTAAGGTGCGTACATTTCTGCCAATAGACTGTTTCTCTATTTTGGTGGCATTTGTCTGTCCATACTCTCATGAAACGAGGTTTATCAATAGCACATGTAAGTTAGGAGAGTTTCCTTTGTGTATTTAAAATGTGTACACACGACTGCACAATCGTGGATCCACAATAAGTGGATCTCAATGGCTCTTCCAGTGCATTTCTGATGACATGTTGGAAGATGCATACTTTTTGTCCTCAGTATTCAGACTCAGAAGCAACACAGCCGCACAAACACTCCACTTCTGCTTGATAAATAGACAACAACTGGTGCTGTGAGGTAATATGATTAAAATAATTCCAGCTTCCACCACACCTTTTCAGACGAACAGTCATGGAGTCACAGGTGACCATAACAGAGAGATTCTAGTCACTGGAAGGACGGATTCACACCCAACGTTTTTCCAAAGGAAGGGATTCTGGCAGGGTAGCATTTCACCTTCCATTTCAATCTGCCAAACTTTGTTAGTGTGTGTGTCTCCAGTCTACCTGTTCCAATGTGTGCCAAGTTCAATATAGGATTTACTATTGTAGGTTTTTCCAATGCCTTAAAATCGCCAGCGATCGCTTTTGCAAGAGCTGAAGACTGGTGCGTTTGTTGTGTGTTTGCCAAAGCACTGTGCCATGATGAGGTTATGATCACACAAGACCTTGGTGTCAGTGTTGCCAGGATAAGCTCCTGGAAATAGAACATTGTTTGCTCACACCTTTCCTCTTCTACTGTAAGGCACAAGTTAATAAAAAAAAATTGTGACATGAATCCCACCACTCTCTTGTATCCTCTTTCAGGCTGTCTTGATTTGAGAACTCACCATGGGGGGAGGGATAGCTCAGTGGTTTGAGCATTGGCCTGCTAAACCCAGGGTTGTGGGTTCAATCCTTGAGGGGGCCATTTGGGTCAAAAATTGGGGATTGGTCCTGCTTTAAGCAGGGGGTTGGACTAGATGACCTCCTGAGGTCCCTTCCAATCCTGATATTCTATGATTCTATGATTCTATCTGCTCTGTTCCTGGGTCAGTTTCTTCTGTCTCACCAGTGCAGCCCTGTCTTCAAAGCGTAGGAGAGCATGATTTAGTAGAATACATAAATCTGTTATTTGGGATGCGCTAGGATGGAAACGAGAGGGCAGGGTCCTCAGCTGGCATGAGTTGTCATAGCTCAGTTAAGTCCATGGAGCTGTAACAATTTGCACCAGCTAAGGATCTGGCACTATTACCTAATAATTTGGCTATTGCTGTTTTTATAGCTAGTTTAGCCCTGGTGAAAGGTGCCAACGATAGCCTGGAACACTGAAGCCTGGTGTTTTTATCCATACAGCGGCTTTAGTATAAGCAAACAAACATACCTTACACTGTTTCCCATCCAGCGTACCTCCACCCTGGCTTAGAGGGGCCATCTACAGAGCAAGAGAAGAGCTCAGTGTACATGGACCATTCAAGACTTGGGCTTTCTTCGAGACTGTCCATTGTGATGGTGATTTTTGTGGTACAGACACGTGCTAGAAGCTGGACCAAGACCAGCAATTTATGTCATACAGGCCACTCAGCTGCTGGTAATGACTTTTTGGTCATTAACAACCTGGACCACATTAATTGTTCATTTAAATACTGCTGACCCAATTCTGCTGTGGGTCCCATCAGAGCAATTCCAGGGATTCCACTGAAGTCAAGGGAGTTAATCTGGGTTTTACTCTGGTGTAACTGAAAGCAGAATGTGGGTATACTGTTGCCGGTTTCAGTTTATAGATTATTATGGGCTGCAATGTTTCAGTCTAAGGAACAAGAACGTTTAATGAGTTGGGTTTTCCCTTGTTCACATAAGGTGATAAATTCATTCCTGCTCTAATTCCAGGGATGCATTTCATCCAGCTGGTATTAGCAAAACCAGGCTGATCAGTTTCACTATCGGGTTGTCATGTCCCCCCTGTAGCTTTTGGGTCTGAGTTGATGATGCTGGATGGAAAAGTATAAATTTCAACAAGTGAAAGTCTGAACATAAGAATGGCCATACTGGGTTAGACCAAAGGTCCATCTAGCCCACTATCCTGCCTTCCAACAGTGGCCAATGCCAGGTGCCCCAGAGGGAATGAACAGAACAGGGAATCATCAAGTGATCCATCACCTGTCGCCCATTCCCAGCTTCTGGCAAACAGAGGCTAGGGACACCATCCCTGCCCATCTTGGCTAATAGCCATTGATGGACCTGTCCTCTATGAATTTATCTAGTTCTTTTTTGAACCCTGTTATAGCCTTGGCCTTCACAACATCTGGTTTCATTTAGCCTTAAAAATTGCACAAACATGTCCCTATTTGGTTTTGTAAAACCCTTTTCCTTCTAATGAAGCCGAAAGGGTTCGACCAGTAGACACTGCCTACATTGCAATCCCTGCTTTTGATTTAATTTATAAAGAGGCCGTTCCTACACTGGTCAGGCCTGATGGGGGACGAGCCCAAGCTGCAAAGTCCAGATATGAATTTCGTACACCACAAAGTTCGGGAGTCTCTGGCTATGGGGTCTTACCTATGCCCATTTTAAAAAAAAAAGAAAAAAAAAGGCATAATTTGCAAACAAAACAATTAGCTCCGGCTCTGATTTCAAACCACACGCCAAAGTTCTGAACAGCTGGGCTGTAGCTAGGGTTTTCATTCAGACTCCTATCTAAACTTAGCCTCCATTTAAAGAGAGCATGATACTCTGGCTAGGATGCTCTCCAGATTCAATAGAATAATAATTATATATAATAATAATTCTGTATATATTAATTCATTATATATAATTAATAATTCTATATAGTGAAAATAATAACTCTACTGATTTTTTAAAAAAAGTGCAGAGAGCTGCACGTGAAAGTGAGGTCAGACTTTCCCCGTTGGCTGTACAGTAGAAATTCACTGACGAACCACAGCTGGGCTAATGCCACTGACAGTGCTGATAAAACAATGACCACAACTATCTTAGGGAGCTGTAGGCCCAGATTTTTTAAAGGTACTTAGGTGGGTGCTGCACCTGATTTAGAAGCCTAACTCTCATTTCCAAAAGTGATTTTAGCACTTCGGAACAAAATCCCATTTGCAGCTAATGGGATTTAGGCTCCTATGTGCCTAAATCACTTTTGAAAATAAGATTTGGGCTCCTAAAGCAGGTGCTGCAACACCAAAATACCTTTAAAAATCTTGGCCTACAGCTCCAGGATGAAGATTATGGTCAGCAGCTCTGCTCCTATGGTACAGCGGAAGTCTCTACAATGAGGATAAAGCTCGTCTGTGCAGGAGAAAGAACTTTCTCAAGGGCCAGTCCCAGACTGTGGAATGAACTTCCCCAGGAACTAGGGACCTGTGCAAATCTCACTATCTTCTGCTCCAAGTGCAAGGCATATTTTTTCAGCCTGCCTTCTCCGACATAAAACAGCAGCCTAGCCGCTCTCTCTTACGTCTACACTGCAAAAAACCACTCACGGCTGGCCTGTGTCATTTGACTCAGGCTTGGGGCTGCAGGGCTATAAAATTGCCGTGTAGACCCACCCCCTTTGCAGAACTCCAGAGTCTGGGGTCCAACCTAAGCCCAAATGTCTACCACCACAATTTTTAGCCCTGTAGCTCGACCCCATTGGCCTGAGTTGGCGGACACAGGCCTACCCAAGGTGTTTTATTGCAGTGTAGACATACCCTGATTCATCAGGTCTCCCTCCCCCTCTAGCCCCAGGTGTCTCTCTTAAACCTAATTGGTGTCAGCTGGCCAGTCGCCGATGCCCTGGACCTGCTCCATCTTAAAGGGACCAGCCACCCTGGGATGGTCTGATTCATGTAGCCTCATCAAAGAATAACCCCTGATTTTCTCTACATTATATCTACGCAATTCCAGTGCCGTAACTAGTGCCTTTTGCCAATACCATAAAGTCAGACTGTGCATTGTAAAAGAAGGCAAATTTCAGAAGCAATTTAGTAGGAAACCTGTTGCAAACTGGGGAGAGGAAAATCAGAGCAGATCCGTAGCAGAACATCCCTCACAAGCAAACTCAAAAAAAAGACACCTTCAAATCGCTGTGAACGCAATAAATAAACTGCAAGGATCTTAACAAATTAGTGGCACTCCCCAACAAAGGAATGGGATAGTCTTTGCAAATAAACTGAGTTAGTAGGACTATCCTTGTCAATTAACACAGTGCTAGCAAACCTTTAAAGAATCATACAGTATATTTGTTTGCACATGTATTATCTGTCTGGAGCTCATGCAGGCCCCGTGAGATCAAGGTGATAGAGCAAACTGGAAACCTTATTGTAAATCTAGGGGAAATGACCTCTCCAAGGACACAGGTTAGGAGATTTCCTAGCCTAGGATATCTTCCTATGACACACATAACTTTGATAGTCTGGGAGGAGCCCACGTCCCCCCGTTTGCACATTCAGAATGGCTACTCACAGATGAGCATGATATAAGGGGAAACAGAGGGATTTCTCTCTCCCTCCCGTTTCTGCTACAGTGTTCCTTTATCTTCTGCCTTTTCTTCCCTCGTCATGTCACGTCAGGATTTTCTGCTCCACCACCCCTAGCAACTCCTAGTCCTGGAGACAGGCTGTGACGATGCCATTGCAGGCTTTTCCGCAGTGAATCAGTGCCAGCAACAACTTGGCTCACTGTCTCAGCCTTGCTATTTCAGCAGAGTGCTTTGGTCAGCTGAATCGCATGGGCCATTTGGAGTCCATTAGCCACCGCAAGACATAGCCACAGATCACTGCGGGGGTCACGCAGAGCAGAACTGCTTATCTAATACTGGGTGTGTATTTTATCATTGCGGTGGAGGGAGTTTAGCTAGGGAGTGGGACCAGAGAGTTCCCCTCTGGTTGTGAGGTAGAAGAGCCTAGGAGACGGCTGAGGCTGTAAGCCCAGGGAAAACCAGACTCCAGAACATACAGGTGGTGAGTATTTCAGAAACATCGGGTAGACAAACCTTTAGCAAACTGGAAAAGGGAAAGTCAGAGCAGATCCACAGAGCATGGGAACTGAATGGACAGAATGAGCAGAAGCAAAGAACCATGTTTAAATCTCAGTGAATGCCCAAAACAAAGCCGGAAGGAGAAAACAAGGGAAGGAGACTCTGAAGCTCTACAGATGTTCCATGGGTGCCCAAAGCAATCCCTGGGCCCCGGCGTTCCCTTGCTTCGCAGTGCTGTTATTTTACAGCAGTGAGAGAAGCAAGTTCCCTTTTAACCAGGGACCAGTCTGCTATTGCAGCAGCTGCCCTGTGCTTTGAGTATAGGTTACTGGGCTGGCGATTCCCGTCAGCTGAGCAGCGGTTGATGTCTGACACAGCCCCACTGGCAGCATGACAAGCAGAATGAGATGCCCTGGCCAAAGGAATAACTATCACAGAGCCTCATGCAAGAGCTTGCCCTAGCAATGACTTTGTTGTATTCTTAACTCACATTTACCAGATCTTGCTTCCACCTTCTGTCTTTATTCCTCCCGCCCTGGTCCCCCTTCTCCAATCCCACCCTTCTTTCTCCCACCTCCTCCAAATTCCCCCTTCCTGCCTCTGTTTTCCTGATCCTGCTTCTTTTCTGACTACTTTTTCTTCCAGATTATCCCTCTCCTCATTTTTCACTTTTTTCTCTGCCTTCCATTCTTCCTTTCTCTCTCTTTTCCTTTTCTCTGTGTACAGGCAGTCCTCGACTTTACGACGTTCCAGTTATGACCAACGGCACTTACGATGCTTCTACATTGACGCCGATTCGACTTACGCCTATAGGTTTTGATTTGCTC